TCCATCCGGCTTCTCCATGGGATTTCCCGAAGGTTGTTAGCTTTTTCCTACTGCTAAGTTGGATCCAGCGTATGCCTTTCTGCATAAAACACTCAGTAATCCATTGGACTGCACGATAGATTACTTCATGGGGTAATTGAGTGAACATCTCTTTAATGTCATAAGTGCGAGCGATGACTCCATACTTAGACATAGGTCCTTCATTTTTATTGATCTTGGCAATCGTTAACCGAAGGTCACTCATCGACATAAGGTTGAAATGAGGCACGTTAACCTTACGAATTAAACAGTTCAAGGAGACGGATAGGACTCCTGCCGCAGTTCAAGGTCGGCATTGGTGTTGACGACATGTACATTGGTCTTCAACGTCGAAGTGAGCCTGTTGCATGAGCGTAGGTAGGATAGGTAGGACAGGTAGAGTAGACTGGGCGATGGGCGCCAGACAGAGATGAGCGACATTGAATACTGCGTTGATGTGGCCTGAGGGCTTGAACATTGGCTCATGAGTTCATTGTATTGCTCTTATTTGGATGGAATCTTGGTGCATTTGAGCTCTCTGCTTGGTACATGACTGTATGGACTTCTGCGTGATTTTGCAACTTGGTTTTCTGTATATCGCTCTCGCTCATATTCCTTGCACATCATTCCATAGAGTGCACACCAAACCTCAAAAAAAAAAAAAAAAAAAAAAAAAAAAAACCCGGGTGAAACGATGAGGCCAAAGTGCACTTGAATGAAAATTTGCATTCACTGCCAACAGAGAATTTTCAGAATTTTCAGCGTTTTTTGGAAATAGTCACCACAGACAATTCCAATGGACAAAAACACTTCGGGGGTGAAGTCCCACCGCCCAAGTTGAGTTTTCTCAACGTTGAGCTTTCTGTGACGTGTGGCATGGTGAGACGAAGTATTGCAAATCTAATGGTACCGAAATACAGGAGAATAACCTATTAGATTTGGTCGTTTTGTAGACTTTTTCGTTGAGGTGAAATCGGTTTTGTTGTATGCTTTGGTCCTTTTGGTTTAGGCAGGAAACCATTTTAAGTTGAGAAAACTACCCTAACCCCCCCCAGGTTAGATTTCTCAACTTATGTGCCTTTCTTTTTTTTGTTTTTTTAGACATCATTACATCCTGAAACGGAGGAACTCTGATAGCTGTGTTTTGCTCTCTCGCATCAAACTCTCTTCCTTCTTCGGGCAATGAACGCATTTGGCCATCCATGTTGTCCCTGTCCATTTTACAAATGGTGACCTCCTGTCCCCTCACCACGGGGAGTATCCCTTTTCCATGGAGACATTCACTCCGACTGTGCCAGACGTGTATCATTTCTCCGAGTTACATAATAAAAAATAAGGAAAAAAGTTGTTTCTAGCGTTTGTTTTTCAGTTTTTTAATTTCTTGTTTCAAATTTATTAATGTTGAAATGTTGTCACACCGTTGCGTTTTCTAAACTTAACTTGGCCGGTGGGACTTCACCCCAGAACATTGAGAAATAGTCAAAAAAAAAATCACAAAGACTTTAGAAACTTCAAAAAGGTGAAAATTGTGCCGTCAGCCATTTTGGTCCAGTTGCCCCGGGACTCCGGACTTTTCAGATTGAGCCAATCATTGTTCTCAAGTTCCCTGGGACATGTACTGGTGGTTTAAGCGGTAAGTCCTCGACCAGACTTTTGTTGGCCTGACCTTCACCATGACCAGCATTTGGGCAACAGGTTGAGCAGCGTTGAATGGAAAGCAATGGATACAGACAGCCAGTCTTGAGTGCGTAGCTGTTACCTCATCATCCATGCCCACCATCTGCTTCCTCCTCCTCCTCCTCTTCATCATCATCATCATCATCATCATCATCATCATCATCATCATCATCATCATCGTTTTCCTCCCCTCCTAATCCTACTATTTTCCCAAGTGCTCCTCCTCCTCCTTCTCCCCCTCCTCCTACTTACTGTCCTTACTCTTGTGACCCGTCCCCGAGCACCTGCCTCCTCCTCCTACGCTCCCGGCACCTGCCCCCTCATCATCCGCATCATCCTTGAAGCTCCTCCTCCTACTCATTCCCAACTGCTCCTCCTCCTTCTTCTCGCCTTCCTCCTACTACAACTCTTTATGCTTTCTACTGCTCCCCTCTTCATCCTCTCCCTCGTCTCCCTCCTCTCCCTCCTCTTGGTCCCCTCTGATTTTTCCTCGACTTTGTCCTCTATTCTTCCATCGTTGCAAGTGTCATGCTCAGTGGCTGCCTCCCACTCTCTTTCCGCCACATGCTCCTTGAAGCTCCTTCTCCTATTCATTCCCAAGTGCTCCTCCTCCTCCTCCCCATCTTCCTACTACTGCTCTTTATGCTTTCTACCGCTCCCCTCTTTATCCTCTCCCTCCTCTCCCTCCTCTTGGTCCCCTCTGATCCCTTTTTGCCACCTTTGTTCTCTTCCTCCACTTTGTCCCCTATTCTTCCATCGTTGCAAATGTCATGCTCAGTGGCTGCCTCCCTCTCTCTTTCCGCCACATGCTCCTACCCTCCCTTTTCTTGGTTAATGTCCCCTCCTCCTCCACTATGTGTTCCTCCTCCCTTTCAGTCACCATCAACTCAAGGGAGAGAGCCAACAAATCGGCCTCTTCCTCTCCCTCTTCCCTCAATGCAAAGTGAAGGTGAAAAATAGATGCAGAAATAAGTTCATGATCTACTGCATATACTGTGGACCCACCACATGATATGCCTCTGTCTGCAATGACTTGCTGATTTGACTGCTGGGTTTTGACTGTGAGGCTGTACAGTATAGCGATAGGGATAGACTTGTAATTTTGTTTGGCTGAGTGCTAACCGAGAGACCTGTCTGTAAGGAAAATCCCTGAGGGACACATCTGCAAATTTGGGAAAATATAGGCCCGTACTAACTAAGATTTCCTACAGCACCTTAACTGCGAATAGCAGGCCCGGGCTATCCCTTAGGACGGACAGGCCTTAACGGCCTATGCCAATAGATAGTCCTATAGCCTATAGCCGGGTCGGGAGAGGGCCCTAGAGGCCGAAACTAAAAAGGTACCGGTCGGTCCAGTCGGTCAGGTCTAGGTCATGTCTAGGCTAGTGTAGTCCATTAATAGATTGTGGAAGTCGGTTGGGGATTTTTGGCAATTCAGTTCTTCGTCGGTATTACGGAGTTGAGCCAAGCAAGGAAGCTGGCGATTGACTTCAGGTGGCATCTTGAGTCCCTCGTTGAAGGTGACAGCCATAGCCAGACCTGCAGAGCTCGCCATAGTTGGGGCGTCCTCTGAGCACTCACCACTGAGGGTGACTGCGATTGCCTGGGCTATTAGGAGGCTCTACATAACGGTTTGTGGGTGGACTACTACTGCTGCTACTTCGTCAGGGTTACCTGCGTGGCAGAGACAGTGGCGCTGCAGCCATAGATGCAGCTTTTATCGTCAGAGTTCCTACATCGACACTGAGGACTTCATCTCTGGTCTTGTTCTTCATCTTGGTGGTTGGCGCTGGCCTCATGGAGGTGCATCTAGGGTAGTGCAACTAACTGGGTGCGAGTGTGAGAGTGGAGTGCGGAGTTCAGTGGTGCCGAGATAACGGGACAAAATCTGGGCCGGTTATCGGTTCAGATTGGCTCAAACTTGGTTACGTTCTTTTGTTATCCTTGCCAGTGTCTTTCTATGATTGGTTGTTGGGGGTATTGTCAGAGAGAGAGAAACACTTTGTGTTGTCTCCACACCTGTGCATGATTGTCAGAGAGTCAGAAACACTTTAGTGAATCTAGCACTCTAGCCTGAAGCGCCTCAGTCCCCTCTACACGATCAGCAAGTTTGGTGAGATTCTGCACGTGGAGATCCGAGGAACCGCCTCTGGAAGAAAGTGGCGAGAAAGGGTGTAAACTGTCGGCCATAGCCAGAGCCTTATCTTCCTCTGCGAAAATTTTCTCAAGTGAGTATGTTCTGTGCAGAACTCGGCGTGGCGATTTATTCAGGTTAATTAGAGTTACAACTGATGGTCCGTCTGTCGTGTAGATCTAAAAATAGATTTGTTAGACTGCATGACAGCCATAGTCATCTTCTTCCTCAGTCTCTGCTGCTCATATCTCTTCCCCTGTTGACTTTTCTGACTCAAAATTGTTTTGTGACTGCTTGATAGTATTGCACTGGATACTACATGCTCAGATAGTGAATTATGTACTGGAAAAGTGGTGATACTATGAATGGTAATTCTGCGCTATATCTAGAAGTGGCCTGTGCTTACTAGGGTCAATCATAATTACATTTTTGTCCGTCAGAATTCATTTCTGTCAGTTACTAGTGAAGCGCAATTCTGTTGTTGTCATCTGGGAAAAATTGCTTGTCCAGACTATCAATATTTGAGTAATTATAGTAAATACTGTAATTCGCCATACCTATAGGTATGACTGTCAAAGTCCTCAGTGGCGAAATTTGAGTCTAAGTCTGAATGGAAGTTTACTGAATAATTCGCTGAATCTTACTGATCTGTGTTTATGTGTACTTACCTCTTACATCTCTCGTACTAATTGCTTTTGTATTCTAGTGGGCACTATAATATCAGTGACCTCTCTGGAAAGCCTGGAATTGAATATACCGACTCCAGTGTGGTCCAGGGTCAGTGAAAAGGAAATCATGAGGTTGATTTTGCTGGACTAATTGTCTGACTGACCCCTGGCTTCCAGAGAAGGCCTCTAACCCAAATCGCCTGATGCCCATAGCACCCACATAACTCTGTGTCAGAGGAAGCAGCGTTTTTTTATTGCTCTGAAGGAAGCTTGAAAATCGTTGTAGACTATATGTGATGTTTTACTAATTTGTCGTATTGATTGAGGAAAATGTCTGACAAGGACGCAGAGACGCAGCTCAGGGTTGAGGAAGTGAAGAAAGAGGAACATGGATCCTCTCATCCACCTCCTCCGCCTTTGACTGCGACTCAACAAAAGGTGAAAGAAGAGAAAGAGAAGTTGTGTCAGCGGCAGAAGCTGATTGCAACACTTGAACAGCAAGAGGCAGCAGAGATGGAAGCTACAACAGATGCGTCTCATAGGACATACCTGTTGGAGTAGTTGGCCAAAATCGAGAACGATGGCCGTACCTCATAGCTGAACAGGTATGCGGCGGGGTGGATCTGTTTGGACCACAAAGCCACCACTACCTATTTTACCAACCGGGACGACCGATTGGGACTTCTAGAACGCCGTGTCAATGATCTGACAGCTCAGCAAGATAAGATCCTGTCCAAAATGATGTTATTCGTGCTCAGCTGCCAGCCTCTGGCCTACCTCTCCCTCCTCTGTTTCCCAAGTCATCTCCTTCTTCGTCTTCTAAGTCCAGGTCCAAACATTCTTCCCCACCACCACCTCCATCCCAAAGCCCTCTGTCACCAAGCCCTCTGTTCCCTTAGCTGGTGACCAGCAGTTGTTACCAAAGATCCCAACCCCTAACAAATTCAGAGGTGATGATCCCAAAGTGGATGTTGGGGACTGGGCCGCTGGCGCAAGAGCCTATCTGAGGGGCTTCACCTGCGCTGAGGAGACAAAGGTATCTACTGTTTTGGGTCTGTTGGATGGATCGGCTCTGAAAATGACCACGTCCTCCTCCAACAGCCAGAATATGCGACTGGAGAACTGGGCTTTTGTGCTAGGTTTGGATGGGCTTCTGCAGGCCTTGGAGGACAAATTTGCAGACAAGGAGCGAGCCCACAAGGATGCTGATAGGATTGCTCGCCTAGGACAGCAACGGTATTCAGGGTCCCTTCACTCTTTGTTTGCTGAGTTCGAGCAACTCACCTCCACCCCTGGGTTGGTCATGTCTTCTGATGATTGGCTGACTAACTTTTTGCACAGCAGCGCCTAAGAAGTTCGCTGCAACACTTTATAGCTCTGGGTATAAGGATTGGAGATCCTTCAGTTGTGCAGCCCTGGACAAGGAGGCAAAACTTCATGTTCAGGCGCCCTCTTCAGACAAGAGGAGAAGGGCCTTCCCTTATGGAGGAAAAAAGGGAAAGGCAGCTTTTGCACGCGCAGGTTCTGCATCAGGAAGTGATTCAGAATCCCGGCCCGCTACTCCATCTGCTGGGACTGAACCACCTCCTGCTGTAGAAGTTGCATCGGCCCTGACTGATGCGGTACTGGGGTTTTTAAAGGGAAAGTTCCCCTCCAGCAGCGCATCAACCAGTAATAAAAAGGGGAAGGATAAGGGACGTCCTCCTTCAACCCCTGCCCAGATACCTAACCTGCCAAGAGACGTCCGAATGCCAACCGACCCGCTAAATCCTCCCACCCTACCCTGGCATGATCTCAGAATCCAGGAAGGGGTCTGGAGGAGAAGGAAGGAAAGGGGGGTCTGCCTGAGATGTGAGGGACAACACTTTGTCAAGGACTGCCCTTACATGCCAGACCCTGGTTCACAACCAAAAAACTGAAGCAGATTCTGGAGGCAGCAGCTCCCCCCAGTTCTGCAAATTCATCTTCTGATGAGGATGAATCTGCAACTGTTTCAGTAAATAGGCTTAATTTAGCAGGAGCTGTCAGGGCAGCATCCTTTGCTTATGCGGATCCTGACTCGGATCAGGTACTGGAGGAGCATGAGACTCAGATGTTGGCTTCCCTCTTCGTTCAACTTAAGGAACAGAGGAAGACCAAATCTAACTCAACCTACTTCAACCCTTGATCAACCATACTAGAATCAAAGGTCTCCTTGACTGTAGAGCTACCCGAAATCTTATGTCTCCTAAGGCAGTTCAGAAACTGCATCTAAAACTGAAGACAGTGGCCTTGCAGCAGACGATGCAGGTCCGGATAGGGAACTCCACTACCATCACTATCAAGGAAAAGGTCAAGGGTATCCCTATCACCTTTGATACTTGGGGAGAAGTCAGACATAGTCTGAACTTCTACATTTTCCCTTACCTACCATTTGATTTGTTTTTTTTCTATGCAGTGGCTGCAGACAGCCAACCCTAGGATCGGCTTGCGGATTCCTAAGGTTGAGCTACCCAATCAGCAGGGGGTGTATCAGCCATGTACGATTGCTGCTGAACACCATCCCAAAACTAGTTGCTACTGTTTACGAGCGAGAGAGTGCCATGCTCTCTCACGCCAGTTTCACCATGAGCGTATGTTTTTGGCACTTGTCAAACAAACAAATGCTCCCCTGGCTTCCTGTCCCTCAGAAGTTCAGCTGGTGGTGGACCAATATGCAGATCTGATGCAGGAGCCTATTGGGTTACCCCAACGGCCAACCAAGCATCACATCGAGCTTCTTCCTGGAGCAGTCCCTCCCAAGGGCCGGATCTACAGGATGTCCCCTGCTGAGCTTGATGAGCTCAGAAAGCAACTTGAGACCCTGACCAGCAAAGGCTGGAACAGACTCAGCACATCTGAATTCGGTGCACCTGTTCTCTTTGTACCCAAAGGGAATGGTGAGTTCAGAATGTGCATAGATTACAGGGGTCTCAAAAAGATCACGAGAAAGAGTACAGAGCCTCTTCCTCACATTGATGATCTATTGGATATGGTGCAAGGCTGCACACTGTTCAGCAAAGTCGACCTCAAATCTGGCTATCACCAGATTGAGATGGCAGAGGAGGATTTCCACAAGATAGCCTTCAAAACCCGGAATGAATACCCGGTGATGCCATTTGGACTTTGCAATGCCCCAGGCACATTCCAAACTGAGATGCACCGTATATTCAGGCCATACTTGGACAATTTCATGGTTGTCTACCTGGATGATATTCTGGTATTCAGCAGAGCTGCCACGGAACATGCGGAGCACTTAGCTCTGTCCTTCAGGCCTTACATGACATCCAGAATAAGATTAACATAGAGAAGTCCTCTTTTGGAGTTCCCTCTGTCATCTATCTGGGTCATGTAATTTCTGGAGATGGTCTGGCTCCTGAAGCAGCCAAGATTGTTGTTGTTCAGGATTGGCCACAACCCCAGACAATGAGGGATGTACGCTCCCTCATGGGTTTAGCTTCCTACTACAGAAAGTTTGTCAGAAACTTTCCTGCAATGGCAGCACCCTTGACTAACCTAACAAAGAAAGACACTCCCTTTCTTTGGTCCCTTTCCTGTCAGATGGCTTTCACACGAATCAAGATGGCCTTGACTCATGCTCCAGTGTTGAAGCTTCCTGACCCCACTTTGCCTTTTGTTCTGACCACCGACGCTAGTTAGTATGGCATTGGGGCGATTCTTCAGCAGGATGATGGGAATGGTCTGCGGCCTGTAGACTTCATGAGAAAGAAGATTAAGACCCAAAAGATGAAGGATTCAACCTATGAGAAAGAGTTGTATGCTCTTGTCTGGTCGCTAAAGCATTGGAAGCACTTTCTCCTGGGAAGGCACTTCAAGATCTTCTCAGATCATTCCATTCTACAGTGGATGAAGTCCCAGGGAGATTTGAATGACAAATTAGCACGCCACATTCATTTCATAGATTTGTTTGACTTCGAACTGAAACATAAGAAGGGCTGCTACAACAAAGTAGCAGACACCCTCTCTCGTAGGCCTGATACTTCTGCGGCTATCTCTTCTACTCACTCCTTTGGAGAGGAGACCCGCCAGACCATTGCCCGACTACTGCCTCAGGACTCGACTTATGGACCCATAGTAAGGAATCTGCAAGCAAATCCCAACTTTGAACCGGGCTATGTTCTAAGTTCAATTTTGTTGTATACTTGCAGCAATGGGGAGGAGTGTTTGTGCCTTCCCCATGACCAGCCACTCAGGACTTTGTTAATGTCAGAGTGTCATGATGCGCATGGTCATTTTGGGTTCCTAAAGTCATATGCGGCCCTGTCGCAGCGCTTTTTCTGGAAGGAGATGCGGAGTGATATGTTGCGCTATATCGAAACCTGTGAGCTTTGCCAGAGGAACAAGGTCCAACACAGACCTCCTCTTGAACTGCCCAAACCATTACCCATACCTGATGGTCCTGCTGAATCTTTGTCTATTGACTTTACAGATCTGGGCAGAACCACCCCTCGTGGCATGCGTCATGTTATGGTATGTGTTGACACGTTCTCTAAGTATGCAAAGTTCATCCCCTTACCAGAGGAAGCTAGGGTCCCCGTTGTGAGAGCAGCGTTTGCTGAGACGTGGGTAACTCTCCATGGACCGCCCACTTCCATAGTCAGTGACAAAGACCCACGGTTTTGCAGCAGTGAACGGCAGTCCTATTGCAAGGACTACCTGCATTCACATTTAGACATGACTTCTGGTCGTCGCCCTGAAGCCAAAGGTCAAGCTGAAATGATGAACCAAGTCTTGTTTCAGATGCTGCGTCCCGTCATCTCACCAGATCAACAAGATTTGGATCTCCACCTGTCTCGTGCACAGCTTGTGTACAACACCTCAGTTCACTCGTCAACAGGGTACAATCCTTATCGATTACACCGGGGTCGTGAACCATGACAGCCTCTTGATGATCTCATCAACAAGTCGCGGTCTGATCTGACTCCTGGGACTGCTGAGTTCGCTAGGAGGTACAGGATTGATGTGGAAAGGGCACGTGCCAACTTGCTCAAAGCCCAAAAGGCAATGATTGAGCAAGCTAACTGACACCGACGTCCTTCCCCCATTCGTACCGGCAACCATGTTTGGGTAGCCAGTTCCGAGTTGACGAGGGAGGAGGATATCTCTCCCAAGCTGTTGCCATGCTATCTGGGTTCGTGGCAGGTGCTAGATACAGTGGGCTCCGATCCTTTTGGCCCATTGTACGTAACTAACGTCCCACTTCATCTGCAGACCCATTTGGTCTTCCATGCATCCAAGTTGTTGCCTTTTACGTCAGCTGATGCATTTCCTGACCGGCCTCCTGAATTTGGACCACCTATACCTGGTCGTGGGTATGAGGTAGAGTCAATTGAGGATGAGTGGGGCACCGGCCCCGACCGACAGTATCTTGTGAAGTTTTCCTTTCAGCCTCATTCTGAGGACCGCTGGTTTATGCAGAAGGAACTTCTCAAGACAGCAAAGTCTGTGGTTCTACGGTACGAGGCGGCTCATAAGGGATTACTCCCTCGCCGATCCGCTCGTTTACGCACTTAGCTCGGAGGTCCTCGCTCCCCGGAGGGGGTAAGCCTGCAATGACTTGCTGATTTGATTGCTGGGTTTTGACTGTGAGGCTGTACAGAATGGCGATAGGGATAGACTTAATTTTGTTTGGCTAAGGGTTAACCGAGAGACCTGTTTGTAATGAAAATCCATGAGGGACACATCTGCATATTTGGGAAAATATAGGCCCGTACTAACTAAGATTTCCTACAACACCCTAACTGCGAATAGCAGGCCTGGGCTATCCCTTAGGACGGACAGGCCTTAACGGCCTATGCCAATAGACGGTCCTACAGCCTATAGCCGGGTCGGGAGAGGCCCGAGAGGCCGAAACTAAAAAGGTACCGGTCGGTCCAGTCGGTCTAGTCTAGGTCGTGTCTAGGCTAGTGTAGTCTATTAATAGATTGTGGAAGTTTGTTGGGGACTTTTGGCAATTCAGTTCTTCGTCAGTATTACGGAGTTGAGCCAAGCAAAGAAGCTCGCGATTGACTTCAGGCGGCATCCTAAGTCCCTCGTTGAAGGTGACAGCCATAGCCTGACCTGCAGATCTCGCCATAGCTGCGGCGTCCTCTGAGCACTCACCCCTGAGGGTGGCTGCGATTGTTTGGGCTATTAGGAGGCTCTACATAGCAGTTTGTGGGTGGACTACTGCTGCTGCTACTTCGTCAGGGTTACCTGCGTGGCAGAGACAGTGGCGCTACAGCCATAGCTGCAGCTTTCATCGTCAGAGTTCCTACATCGGCACTGAGGACTTCATCGCTGGTCTTGTTCTTCATCTTGGTGGTTGGCGCTGGCCTTATGGAGGTGCATCTAGGGTAGCACAGCTAACTGGGTGTGAGTGTGAGAGTGGAGTGTGGAGTTCAGTGGTGGCGAGATAATGGGACAAACTCTGGGACGATTATCGGTTCAGATTGGCTCAAACTTGGTTACGTTCGTTTGTTATCCTCGCCAATGTCTTTCTATGATTGGTTGTTGGGGGTATTGCCAGAGAGTGAGAAACACTTTGTGTTGTCTCCACACCTGTGCATGATTGTTTCCGCTGCCTACTCTGTTCGTATGCAGTGTGTACTTTGTCTGTGTGAGATTGTCTGAGTGCGAGTGTTGATTGAATTCGACAGACAACCAAAATCATAACAGTTGGTATCAGAGAAGGATAGGAACTGATTAACTGAGGGTTGAGCGCAAGTGGGGCATCCTCTTCCTCTAAGGATCTTCTGGAGAGAGTTTCATGGAGATCCTTCTTCTTCAGTACCGAATCGAGTGAGAAGAAGATTGCAGGCGGTGAATTTAGGAGCACAGTGATTGGACAGATCAGGCGCTGCTTTCCTGTCGGAGCAGCTGACACTGGGTGGCGAGTACAAGGCAATTTCGCCAGTAATTGCATGGGAGCCAGAATCGCAATTTGGCTCAGGGTGGCGAAATCCATCTGAGAGGGTTGAGGAACTGAGTGGCGACTCCTCTACAGTGTTGAGCGCTGGAGAGGATTGGCCAAGAGAGTCAATCCAACACTGAATTGAGCTTCGTTGGCTCAGTACTAGTGTCAGCGAAGTGGAGTGTCAGTGGCGAATTATCCTTGTCTGCATGACAGTTCACCATCGGACCAGATTCAGTGAATCTAGCACTCTGGCCGGAAGCGCCTCAGTCCCCTCTACACAATCAGCAAGTTTGGTGAGATTCTACACGTGTAAATCAGAGGAACCGCCTCTGGAAGAAAGTGGCGAGAAAGGGTGTAAATTGTCTGCCATAGCCAGAGCCTTATCTTCCTCTGCGAAATTTTTCTCAAGTGAGTTTGTTCCGTGCAGAACTCAGTGTGGCGATTTATTTAGGTTAATTAGAGTTAGAATTGATGGTCCAACGGCCAGCGGGCCCGCCTTCTTCTCTTCTTTTTCTTCTTCTTCTTCTTCTTCTTCTTCTTCTTCTTCTTCTTCTTCTTCGTCGTCGTCGTCGTCGTCGTCTTCGTCTTCGTCTTCGTCTTCTTCTTCGTCTTCTTCTTCTTCTTCTTCTTCTTCTTCTTCTTCTTCGTCATTGTCGTCGTCGCTTCTTCTCTCTCTCTCTCTCTCTCTCTCTCTCTCTCTCTCTCTCTCTCTCTCTCTCTGCAACAACGATGACAAGGCTAGTCGACCTGTTGGCTCTCGAACCCAAACAAACGGTACGATCCCGTCGCCGCCGTTGGCTCTCGAACCCAAACGAACGGTACGATCCTGTCGCCGCCGTCGTCAATCGCTTCTTCTTCTTCTTCTTCGCTTGTCCTCTTCTTGTCCTCCTCTTCCACCACCCTTCTTCTTCTTCTTGACCTCTTCTTCCTGCCGTTTCACACCCCCTATTAAACCAGAAGCCCTCCCACAACTGTGCCCTCACTCCCCCCTCCCCCCCCCCCCCCAGAACCCCCCCCCCCCCCCGCCCTCCCCAATTTTCTTTTTTTTGTCGATTCAGGGTCCTCTGGGGAGCGCAGCAAGACCCCACCATCAAAAAAAAAAAAAAAAAGTTCTGCTGGGTTTTTGCGTCGCCAGGTTTCGCCGGGCGGACCCCCCCGGGCCTGACCGGCCGGGCGTTGGCCCAGCCTAGGTAAGCACATAAATGTTGGAGCTCTTGTTCATCACAACCAGGCAGAGTGGCATACAGCAATTACCCTAGAAATCAGCATGGGTGAGCGCAAGATTCTTGTGATGACGTCAGACACATTATGGGCTCTCTCTCTCTCTCTCTCTCTCTCTCTCTCTCTCTCTGAATTTTTGTTGATGACATCACCACCATGATCAATCTGTGCTGCTGCTTTTTCTGGCATATGTGTAAAGTTCAGGAAGCCCAACAGCAACATGTGCAAACAAACCTCTCAACTAGGCGATCAGTGCAGTGGTGATGAAGACGAAGAGGGAGGGACTAACAGCACGAGGAAAAGTGGGAAAACAGGGAGATGAGAGGGTAACGAGGGCGACAATCTGCAACTAGCACTGGCAAACTGCTTTAAAATTGTTGGAGCTGTTGTTCATCACAACCATGCAGAGTGCCATACAGCAATTAGGCTAGAAATCAGCATGGGTAAGCTCAAGATTCTTGTGATGACGTCAGGCACATTATGGGTTCTCTCTCTCTCTCTCTCTCTCTCTCTCTCTCTCTCTGAATTTTTGTTGATGACATCACCACCATGATCAATCTGTGCTGCTGCGTTTTCTAGCATATGTGATGCCATCATGCCACCATTGATGATGTGCTGGCCCCGTGAAGAACAAAACTATTGGTGAACCCAAGCTTACAAAAAAAGTTCAGAAAGCCCAACAGCAACATGTGCAAACAAACCTCTCGACTAGGAGATCAGTGCAGTGATGATGAAGACGAAGAGGGAGGGAAGGATCCGGAAGAGGAGTTGCGGAGGGAGAAATGCTGACAATGGCGAATGACAATGCATGTTGACCGCGGACACTGAGGAGGAGGAGCAACTGCGGGGAAGAAGGAGGAACATTAAGGGACCAAGCAGACATGATCGAAGACAGCACAGTCTGAATTCCTACCGGGATAGAAGTAATGGACATGACAAATGGAAGAGGAAGTGCAGATGCTCTTGACCTGTACCCCTATATAATCCCCAGTATAATCCCCAGTGGACTGGAGATCGACAGTGCAACAGTGCACAGCTGACTGCATCTCCCAGAATGGTTGCAGAAATGGATAGGCATTGACAATCACCACTGCTGGTCCAGGTCAGTACACTGAAACGTAATGTCAGGAACATTGAAGGAGATAGTCAGGAAACTGAGGGCCCTTACCTTTCTAACAGTTGTGTTCTTCCCATCTGGAGTAGTGATGGAATGTGGGCCGATCCCATGCACACATTCATGGCAGAGTGTATGTATGAAGAAGGCATCGAATGTGACATCATCCTTTTGCGAATCCGTGATGCAAACGTCAGCAATCCGCTTAAGGATCACCACAAATCTGACATTCACAACAAAAAGAATCCATGCAGATATTTTGAGTGCTTAGAAAGCAATGATCAACGAGGCACTTTCATGGAGAGTCACCCTCAGAAATTTTGAGAAAAGCTCAGAAAAGTTGAGAAACATAAACATGAAAGTGGGAACAATATAGAGGAAGAAGGGGAAAGCAGGAATGACAACAAGGCTTACTATGGTGGTCATACATAGGCTTGTTGTTCTTCCATATGCTTCAGAAGGTTGGGCTGCCCGATGAGCATTGATGATGACGATGCACTTACTTGGCCTGAGATACATTCTTTAGTATAACCATCGCCGTTCCTCTTTTTTTCACAATCCGCTCATCATTTGGAAGGTTGAATGCCACAGTCTGTGGACCTTTGACGTCCTGCAAATAGCCGAGCAATCAGAGCAAGCAAGACAATCATAACTCACAAGACTGGCCCTCTCCTGGTGAAAAAATATGAAATAGTTCCTAATCAATAGTTAGCACATGTAGCACATGTAGCGCGCGCACACACACACACACACACACACACAATCATTTTTTTTGTATGTTTTCTTTCTTCTTTGTATTTTTTCTTACTGAGCACCCTTAAGCAGAGTCAAACAGTCGGCAATTCCTCATTTGGGGTGCCTACAGCACTCTTAGAGGGGCTGCTCAGTTCGGGATGTCTGTGTTTCCTGCCGGTGATGACGGATGTTCGTCTGAGTGACTCCCTGGCTCAACGGGTGGGTGGAACCAATAATGTGTGGTGTTCAATCATGATGTGAGTACGTGATGTGCCGCTTTTCTCCGCATTGGATGTGTGGACTGCCCGTCTGCTGTGGCATACTCAGTTCCACACGGGCCTCGCAGGGACCAACAGTAGGGTTAGGGGTTTCGTAGGGTGTAGGGTCTGTGTCATTTCGGCCGTGTTAGGCCCCGTAGGACCCAGTTGGCCACTGACAATGTGCAGTGTTCAATCATGATGTGGGTGCGTGATGTGCTGCTTTTCTCCGTGTTGGATGTGTGGACTGCCCGTCTGCTGTGGCATACTCAGTTCCACATGGGCCCCGCCGGGCCCGACAGTAGGGTCAGGGGTTTATGATATTCATTTTTGCCCGTCATCAACGAGCGTAGAGTATTCGCATGTCCCAACTTCTACCTTCAACAGACCGGTCGCCACGCAGTGCCAGTCCATCTTCATCCCTGTTCGAACCCAATTGATCTCCTAAGGAATGATATCGCTCATCTTAACAACCATAACCTTTTTCCTGGACAGGCGTTGCCTGAATTCTTCCCGAATTTTAGGTGACGCAGCCAAGAATTCCTGGAGTGTGACCAGATCGCCCTGACTTTCCAGAATCCGGTCCACGATTTGCTCAATATCAATCCCCTTCTAAACAAAATTTCTGATACTTGTTTTTTCCTGCATGGCTCTCCTTCCCCGATTTCCTTTCTCCAGATCTCATTCCATGGCTCGCTATTTGGCCTGCCGCTCATCTTCGGCACACAACATCTCATCCTCCTCAGTGTCCTCATCATCGATAGGAATCGACTCATTCTCTCAAGGTCCGTTGGGATGGTCGTATATATAACCTTATCGTTTTCGTTCTTAGTGACTGTCTGACAAAATCGTATCTCATGTCCCTTCTGTCCACAGTACTTATAAGTCCAATTTTGCCAATTTTCATGGCCGCCTCCGCTCCCTCGGCCACCCTCATTTCCTTTGTCCTCGACCTCGGCCTCCTCTCCTTGCCTAGAGTTGGGGTTGCTGAGGAGGAGTTTGTGCCGCTTGTCCCTGACTTCCGCCATTTCCCTCTCCTCCATAATTCTTTCGTTGCTTTTTGCTGGAAACCTTGTCCACCCCGTATCTGATTCAAGACCTTCCGCTCGACCTTGGTCAGTTTTCGCGGAGGCTCCACCTCTTCTTCACTTCCCTCCTCACTGTTGCTGCTACTTGCTTCTTTTTTTGAACTGCCACTTCACCCAACCCATCCACATTCTTTTAAGCACAACCCGCCCTTAAAAATAAAAATAAAAAAACTCTCAAGGTGACCCAACCCACCCAAGTGTCTTTTTGAAATTTTCAGCCTCACCCAACCCGCCAGTCACACGTAAAAAACCTTCACCCTGACCCATCCACACCCGCGAGAACAAATTTCCCCGCCTGCACCCAATACCTAATTATTTTCAAACCGCATCCGCCCATTCCCCATTGTCTCAGTCCTTTCAAACATTTACACGCACCACAGCAACACAACATCCTTGGATGACAGCGCGGAAATTCGAAGCATCTCCACTTTGGGTCGTCCTTGGGTGACGACACGAAAATTTGAAGCGCTCTACAAGTTTGAATTTGGGAAACCTTGCCACTTGTTGTGGTTGGGTTCGATCCCCGGAGCCAACATCCTGTTGTTTGAGCCGTGGTCCAGCTGCCACCGGCCCACCGATAGAGTGTGACACATTTTTTCAAGGCGGATCCCAGAGTTCGATTTGCCATCGGCGCGGCTCTTTGTTCTTCGAGCATGGCAACTTTTTTTTTCCAGGGGGCCTCAGGGTGGAAATTTTTGGTTTCCTGGGCCTCCAACTTTTGAATTCCATAGGTGGACATCAACTGGAAATGTGTATGAGGGGTTTGGGGGGGGGGGGRGGGTTCTTATGGGTTGTCCTGGGTGTGTGAGTCGGGTGACCCAGGCCTAGCACTCACCCGCCTGTCACCCACCCATTCGGGTGACCCAGGCCTAACATTGACCCGCCCGTCACCCACCCAAGCTGGCTCGCCTAGACCCAGCCTCATCCCACCCGTGCCAGCTTATCAAGACCCACACCTGACCCAATGCCTCGTGGGCGGGGTGGGTGCGGGTGGGTGCGAGTCTGGGTACCCGTTGCTCATCTCTGCTTACCCTTCCTCTTTCCCCCTTTTGTCTGGGCCATCATAACCTGGAGTTTTAATCTTTCCTCCTTCATAACGCCCATCATATTCCTCATATCGGCTAGGGTCTTGTAAACAGCATGGTCCTTATCTTCGCTTACCCCCTCCTTCTCGCGATCCTCCTCCTTTTTTTGCTGCTTCAGGAGGCGGTAAAGCATTTGGTCGAAGTTTTCGGCCAACAAATTTTCCTTAATCTTCGGCCAGTCGTATCGCCCAGTCATATCCTTCATCAACTTGCGCTGCTCAACCTTCGAACATTTTTCAAGGAAGATGAGACACCGGTCTTTGTTTGGAACATCTGGTACTAACTGCACAACTCTCTCGAATTTCATCAAAATTTGCTTTGTTGTATCCAATTTCCGGTGACTTACTTTCCGCAAATCCGCCAAATCCAATAGTTGGTCTCCCAACTAGTATTTCTCCAACAATTTTGTTTTAAAGTTCGTCCAATCGCGCGAAGCTTGCACCATCTCCAACACCTCTTCATTATATTCAACCTTGCAAATAACGCTTCACCATTTGAAGCATCTTCTCACTCGACCATTCACAACAACTCCCCACTTGCTCGAACTTATCAGCCCACCCCGAGGCATTGGTGCCATAAAAAAGAGGAACATCCATTTTCGAAAGTTGAGTCTTTTAGTTGTCCGCTTCATGGATAGCGCGCGAGAGTTCCAAGATGTCGTTTCGTCGCTTTCCCGCATTGCTATTCATCGGGTCAACATTTCCTCCCGTTATCTTGAGTAAGCCAAAAAAAACGATAAGTCCACACATCCAGATGTTATATAAATTTTCATGACTAGTCTTGAACCTTGTCTTCCTTTTCCCCTTTCGGACCTTAGTAGCCACTAACTTACTTTTATATCAGATCAAATAACAAACAATACTTAGAATTCATCCCAACAATCATTCACCCGAGTGGCGTTCCACTAAGGACAACAGTAATTTGTCGTCATCCCTGGAAACGGCGTCACTTGTCGAGGGCATCGGCTCCCGCCTTTTCCGCAAAAGGCGAGAGCCCTCCCGGCTATGTCAAGCACAAGTTAAACAAAGAAAAACAAGAGACAACTTGGGAACAATGCAAAATAACCCCGCGAACCACCAAGACGAAAATGGTTGCGTCATCCTTTCTCCGCTTAGCCGGGTGCATCGGTCGTACGTCCCACGGTCCCCTACGACATAATAGGTTTCCGTGGGGCACAACTTTCCTTCCCTAAGGGGTTGTCACCACCCTTAGAGGTGTATCCCTACCGAGCTACTGACCCACATGCGAAAGCTTTTACACACAGTCGCCGAGGTAAGCCAACCGAGGGCGTTTGCTCTTTCACTTCAGTATAGGCACGAGTGGTTAAAACGTCGTATGAACCCGGACATCATTCGTTCCCTAGGGCGTTGATCTCCTAAGTACAAATAGACGTCGGTCGACTAGGACGGTCTCAACCAAGCGTGAAACCCACTAAATAATCGTAGTCCTTTTACATCTTGCTGAAGATAATACACATAAAATTAATACGCCTTATATCCAATCGCACAAGTTCAGTTCGGGCCGTGTCGGGGAGAATGCCAAACGGATGAGGAAACCGACCCTAATCCATTTTTGACTTGATGAGATGATCTGCCAAAGTTATTCTTCCCATCCTACGTGACCAAAGAGACCTTTGTATTGCTGCTTCCGAGGCGGAGACCCCTTTTTGACGAACGATTATGAAAATGACAACCTAACACTTAATGTATGGGTGGATACGTTGACACACCTATTAAACCCTGCCATGAATGACTTCTGCAAGTAAATTTCATTGTTACCATGCGGATCGAAGTGAGGTTTAACTTTTAACATAAGTTCAGATCCTCGGTTCGACCTGTCTTCGACAACCTATGTAGCCTGCCCGAGGTAAGGGTTGGCTAGAAGTTTTGTTGGTTGCTTTGCCCTGTCTTCGACAACCTATGTAGCCTGCCCGAGGTAAGGGTTGGCTAGAAGTTTTGTTGGTTGCTTTGCCCTCCTGGGCAATAATTACTTTTTCAGTTCCTCGAGTGATGAAGTACCCACCTTCATCATAACGATACTTGAAGCAACGCCGCAATCGTTATCACTGCACTGTCAGTGTGAATACCCTTACAAGGGTATCCGCCCTGGCTTTTGCAGATGACAGAGAAATAGGTTTGGGTTAAGATTTAGGTGTACCGCGCGAGGCGGGGCTGTGTCTGTTGCTTACGTTTGACTGAAGGTTGACTAGAGTGGAGAGTGGGGGGGCGCGCAGGCTTGAGGCACGCGTGATCTTTATTGTTGATGATTGAAGGGCTGGCTTGATAGCCGGCCAAATGTTTATTTCTGGTTAAACTAGGGATAAAAAGATTTATGTCTCTTGATTGTTGTGCTTGCTTGTGACTTATGCGTACGTACGGAAGACGGCGTCGACAATAATGCGATTGTGAAAATGTTTCGGTTGATTTGCGCATTGCGCAATATCCG